CTATCACTGGCTGCTGACAGGATGCACATCCAGGGCCTCCAGCAGGACCTTGGGGGGGGGGGGGGTTCAAGCTGTGCTTCATGGTATCAGGACACTGTACTCAGGTTTTGAAATAATTTCGGGAGCGAACAAAGCTTGAGGATCATATCATCATGCCGAGGAATTGTCCAAGTATCGTGTTGGTTTAGGTCAGCCCGCATGGGTTACTGGCAGATAGAAAGTTTCGCCTCTAAAACTGCTTCGCACAGGTTTCTTAGCCTTCGCGCATTCCTAGCTATGATCGGGTTTCTTCGTCAGGAATGCTGAGTTTACCAGTTTTATTTTACCGTCAGTTGCTTCAGCAAAAAAAGCTATGAAACCACTTCAGCTTCATGAAACCCTGTGGAGCTCCCAGCAGGGAAAACTCTGCCATTTAGCTCCTTGCATGGTCGTTACCGCACGAAACCTAGAATCGGGTTTCTGCACTTTTTTTCTTCGTTGCAGCGTTGCAAACCGAAACAGCGTGCGAAGAGCGCTCGAGATGCAATGACACGGAATTCAACAGCAAAAACCAAGAACCACGTTAGCTATGTTTCTTGTGCAAAGCCCCGTTAGATCGCCTGGAGTTAAAGGCAGGATGGGACATGAATTCAAATCTCCAATTTGGCGGTCCTGCAATAGGGTTGCCGCACAGGCTGCGCTTTCACAATTGGGCTGCGGAGTCGTGTAGACTTGGGCATGTCATAAACTGCTGGATCATTGCCTCAGAAGATGGCATTTTAGGGTTTTTGGATGTTTCTGGAAGCACCTTTTTCTGAACAGCCACACGAGGCTCTGAGGAGCTCTCCTCAGTTGCGTGGTGAAGGTTTGACTAACCTTCAGCTGTGGCTCAGCAACCCCATTGCCCAAAGCACTAAGTGCAATGATCACAAGCTTGCAGTGGAAACTGTCTAGACCTAGACATCCTCGAAATTTGAGGGTCACCTCCTGCTTGCTGCTTGCCCGAGAAAAAAAAGGGATCATATTGTAGCCATCCAGGACGTGCGATTTTTTCTTGCCGCGGAACCTCCGGATTTCAAAAGATGTACCTAGCACCCTAAGTCTTCCATGAGTTCTTGAGTCATGCGCAATCCTAAGTTCTAAGCCCAAGACCCAGTCGCCGCCAATCCCCTGCAACTCTTTGGGGCCTTCGCTGCAGGGCGCCTTCGAAGGAGGGCTCTCGCGCTGGGACGCCCGAGGTCCAGCTGATGGAGACAAAAAGTTGGATGATGCAGGGACCTTCAAGGGGAGGAAGGTCACTTAGGCACTTCAGCACTTGCAAAGCCTTGGATTTGGCAAGTATTGAGTCGACAACAGATGGGCAATGTAGGAGCTCATGCATGCAGGCCGTGAGGGTGTTGGGTTCAGGCAGCAAGGCATGGAACTGTGTCTGGGCAAGGCGCTCAAGGTTTTCTGCAATGTTTGCTTAGAACTTCTGGATTTTGGGACTCGGTAAGTTTGTTTACAATGTTTACTGCAGAAACCGCCAAGTTTTGCCGACGGGAATGGGCATAGATGGGCCGATGAATGAAGGACACAACGCTTGTGCATAGGTGATGCTGCTGAAGTTACAAGCAGGTACCGTGAACCTTAATCGCCTTGCATGAAGGTTAAAGATCATGGCGGGCGGTTAGTTGCCCACAGGCGTTTGGTAAGCTACCTGACGACCCACCGTGCAATGCAGGAAGTTCCTTCAATCAAAGCCCTTAGTCATGAAGCAGGTTTCGGAGCCCCCAAGGAAGCTGAAGATGTCACCAGAAATTTGAACGCATTCTAGGCACTTCGGCCTGAAGCCTTAGAACCTATCCGCTTTCTGGTTTCCGGCCTCGGAACCATGGAACCTCCTTGCCTCCTGTAGCTTGCAAGAGGAAGATGCACTGACAGTTTGCTTACGAGATGAACGCTTAATCGACCAAGTGATGTGTAAGCCTGAGCCGATCCATTCTGCAGACCCCGCACCGGGCGGATCCGCGAAGGGAATCAGTGGCGACGAGGCGCGTATAGCTTCTCAAGAGTGTATGAGTGGGCCATTAAAGGATTGCCGATCCTTGCCCAGGGTCCACCATTTGTGCTTCAGCATTGGTTCCGGTGAGCTGGCTTGAAGTACGATAAGGACAGATGAGTTTCTGGACAAACCAACTGTGAAAGAATTTAAGCCCGAAAACAAGCTATAATTCTTGTACTTGCACTACTCCAGGGTCGTAAAGCGGGGCTGGCTTCCATTTCGTAAATTTAGTATGAGTGGCCGCCACCGTATTAGTTACCATTGTATACATTTGCCGGCAACTTCGAGCTTCTGGCTGGATAGGGTTCAGGGGCTTGAGTGCTGGTTCAGGTTGAAGCCACCGCCACCGCAGAAAGTCTGAATCGTCCCAGACCGCATATTCTAAACTCCGAACTTGAAGACTCTGGACCCGAGTCTAGACCTTGCAACATTACTTGTAACCCCCACCTACGCGAAGGCTTCGCCTGGCCTATGAGGCCGCAAAAGCTGCCGGACTCCCGAACGAGGACACACACGGCGATGGTCCCTTTGCCTTGGTTTTGGGAGGGCTGAGCGGAGAGCAGATTCAAGGCTTGCCCTGCACAATATAGAGCACAGTCCAGGGGAAAGCATTCAGGCAGAAAGGCCATTTGGCCAAGGCCTTTGGGGTGGGCCATTGCAGCGCCGACGAATACTTTCAATCTGAATGTGATCTGCTGGGAGTACCTGCCATGTGGCAAACGATTGCCTTGAAGGTTAAGCCGTTTAGCTTTGAGCGTACAGAAGACCAACATGGGGCTGATTTGGGGACAGAGGGGGGGGGCCTTGTAAACAAAGGGTTGGGTTCTGGCAGAGCAGATTTGTGCATGCGGAGAGGCTCAGTTCCATGGTTCCATGAACCCAAGGCCATGCACCATGTTCTAGGATGTTGCACTGGAAGCCTGACGTTGGTGGGATAGTTTGCACTGCCTGGCTTGTGGTCAAGGAGAAACTATGCTTTACAGAACCTTCATTTGGTATGATCGTTCAGCAGTGCGGAACATTGCCCTTTACCGACATCGAGTAAAGACTTGGACCCATCGCCTCACCTGAGCTGTTCATCTTTGCATGTGAGGATCCTGGATGAAGAAATTAGGCTGCGTAACTCAAATATGAAACCCGCCAACCGGCAAGCCCGAACCAGCTGCATCAGAATGTTTTTGAGCCTTCTTGGCCAACATGCGAGAAGGAAGGTGCTGACATCGAAGCTAGCCCTGTCTGCTTGGCATATCGGAAACTCCGAAATCCAATCATTGAAATGAAATATCCCTGAGCCTCAGAGTAGCTACCCCTGACAAAGTAAATACATAAGGCCTTTGGCCAATCCGACTAAACTAACGCGGTAATAGCTTGTAAGCAGGCCTCAGACAGTCAGTTTCCCAGATAGAAGCCACGTGTCGTACTTGAAACATCCTTGTGACCTTGCAGGATTAATGTATGTACCCATACCTGTTACTGTAGTTGGAGGTATCATATAATGATCCAGTGCAGGACGATGTGGTGGCCAAGGCCGATGCCCTCCTCAAGACCCAGGACGTTTTCGGTTCAGGGGTGTATCGATTCTTGTGCTGGTTTACTGATTGCTCCTGTGAACTCTGGAGTACAGCACAAACCTCCCTTCAACCCCAGCACTCATCAGCAGTTTCGTCCTGTCCATGAAGTGCAGAGGCCAGCCTAGTCTCCCAAAACGTAGACAGGTCGAAGATCCCTCGCTGGTCCCATAGTTTGCAGGCTTGGGTTGTTGGGTTTCAGATGCTGGCTCGTTTGGGTGGACGTACTGCAGATGTTCTTATGTACGTATGACTTTCAGGACCCATTATGTTCTGAAGGTCTCGAAATACGGGACGGTTTACACGTCCTTCATTCCAGCATGCTTTCGCCCAAACCCGGGCCCTGTAACAGGCATGAAGCGAGGCACGAAGCTAAAGCGCAACTCACGAATGTTGAAGCTTGGAAACTCGAGAACTCTGAGAGGCAAACTGCCAATGAGACTGAAGCTTCGCAACCCAGAGCCCAAAATCGTGCGGAGGAAACGCACCGGAAGGCGCTGCTGCAAGCGGTGGCTCAGGCGGAATCTGCCTGAAGATCAAGCTGGGAGTATCTGCCGGGCGTCAGATCTTCGAGGGCTGCTTTTCAGACTTTGGGATGCAAAGGTGTTGGGAAGAGATGTTGAGACATGTTTTGTACCTTTGCCACCAGAGGAGTTGGTGGTAAATTGAAGCCCACACTCAAAAGCCATTTGCCCTTGAACCCTGTAGCCGAGCCTGTGCATCGCAAATTTTTGACGGACCCGGCTACATCATAAAATCGAGACCCCGCAGTGCCCATGCTTCAAACTAGCTTCAATCATTTCACAACTCCAAGTTGGAAGGCAAAGGAGGAGTTCACGCGGGCACGGCGTGCAGAGAACCTTGAGACTCTGAAGCAGATCAAGGACCAGCGATTGGCTCCAGGGCTGGGAGTTCAACAGCTGTATGTATGCTGAAGACGGCCACGTACGCTCACAGGCAAAGCAATTCTGCATGTTCTGAACGATTCGGTTCAGGGTTTAGGGCAGCAAGTTTTTGCTCTCAGGTTTCTCGACTGCAAGACAACGCAAGACACTAGGCTCGGGATCTGTGGTACGAAGACGGGACAAGCAAGAACTACAGCAGGGCTTGAAGAGCATTCAAGAACCATCCAGAACTTCAACGACGGCAGCAGACGTTACAGCAGTTTTCACACTTAGCACTTAGAGGACTGAATGCAAGCTCTCCGAGCCTGCACGCTCAACCTCTAGAATTCTCTCACAACAAACACATGGCTCACGGCAGCGAGATTGCCCTGAAGTTTCCTTGACCCAGCACCCCCCAAACCATCATCATCTTGACAGCTGGAACAACAATCGAAGCAAAAGCCTATTACATCCGTAAAGCTGTATGTCCCTGGAAGATTCCCAAGATGCCAAATGACTCAAAAGGACGACCTGAGCGCGCTTCCCAACGACCTCCCCGCAGCACGTCTCCTGGTGCCGGAGATTCGCGAGGCCTGTCGTTGAGGTCCTGGGGTGCATACAGCTCAGAAGTTGCGATGCATTAGAAGTTGTGGTAGTCAGGGTTTAGGGGTTGTAGACCTGGGGCTCGCGGATCAAGAGCGTTGGGGTTCCAGGGTGTAGCGGCTTTAGCTCCTGAGGCCCTTGCGTTCTTTGCACGCGATTTCGAGCGTCTCACACTTGCTCCGGGTTCGGGCGGTGTCGGGTACTGCGTTTTTGCCTGACAGGTTTGTTGAGGGTCTCATGGTTCAGCCTCGCAAGGGTGTAATACCTGTGGTCACACCTGGATGCTTCCCCAGAACTTCTGAAAATCTTTAGGTCATATTGAGACAATCACGGCTTCAAGAGGTTTGAGGCGGTTCTGGAATGAGGGTTCAGGGGTTGTGGGTGATCGTGGTTTCAAGGCTTCAGAGCTTTTGGGGCTTAGTTTAATTACGAAGTGCAACTTAGCTTTGGTCGGGATGTCCAAAGTCTCAAGACGTAGCAGCTTCACACTTCTTTAGGATCTAGGATTGGGGTTGTTTGGTTATTGAATATCCTTGGCGAGGAAAGCACTTCCCGCCGCTAAGTTGAAGGTCCGCCCCATGCCCTACACCGGAAAAAACCTTGCAGTTGCTTCAAGCAGCAGTTTGCTCGAAGTGTCCTGTGATAAGAGAAGGTCATCACGAGAGAGGACAGATCAACTTGACCTTTTGAGGCAGGAGCTCTCAATATTGCCCCTATAGAATCCTCAGAAGAGACCCCGAGAATCCATTTGGGATTGCATAATAACCCCGCGCCAGAGAATT